GGACAGCGGGGGATTCCCTCCGGAAATTTGAGCTAGTCGAATTCCAACGAAGACCAGTGGCGGGCGCCAGGTATAGCTAGATATACTGGATGGCTGTGCAAGGGACAGCCAGGGGAAATGAGAAACACATGCAGCGTTAGCTACGCTTTCTGTGCCTTATCCTATGCGTGCGTGCGTGCGTGCGTGCATGCGTTCGTCCGCGCCTGCTTGCGTGCGTGCGTGAGTTTGTGTAAACTTGTAAACGAGAAAGAGAGATAGAGATAGAGAGAGAGAGAGAGAGAATATATAGAAAGAGATGGAGAAATAAACCCGACCAGGGTTCTCTTTCTCCTTCGCATGTTCGTATGTGTAAATGTGTTTGAGCGGGAGAGGCAGTAGGCGGAGGCCACGTGTCCGTGACGGGAAGCTGCGAGATGGTCTGCGGTTATTTCGGTGATTGCTTTTATCGCGTTGGCAACAGTGTGTGACCTCTCTTCCACTAGCTCGTTTCCCCTCCTGTTTTTCCTACTTTTTTCCTCGTTTCCATCAGTCGATCCCCCCTCCCTCCCCCCGCCCCTTGGCCACACCCGGCTCCTCTGCCCCTTCTGACACTTTGTGCGACCCCTCCTCAGTGGACAGACGACCTGCAGCAACGTTGCTACGCACTCATCCATAACAAAAATCGTCGAAATAATTTGTGTAACTTTTTTCACGCTTCCACGCCTCCATCGTCTTTATCTCCGCTTCCTTGCTCTTCTACCTTTTATTTATAATACGTTTTCGTCTTTAGTCCATGCCCATTGAATTGATAAATCGCATGCCAATTAGCGCGCCAATTCTATTTAATTTTGAATTATAAACAAAAGTACTAACCTTACCAATAATTATAATACTATTAAAATTGGAAAAATAATTATTATTTCAAATATCGAGAAACTTATCGTACAAATATCGTTCTCAAATAAAAAGCCAAGTAATTTTCTTAAATACTAGTAGAAAATTATAAGGAAAACCCATTACTTCGTAAAATTGTTAATGTTGTCTGATTTGAGGAATAGAACGGCAACGATAAACATTAAGCTAAGAAAGTACTTACATTTACTTAAACCAATGCACTTTATGGATAATGACTTATCCAATGATTCACGACTGACGACAAATCTTGACTATTTGTTTCCAAATTTTTCCATACTTTGACGATAATTCTCCGTAGTGTATAAAAGTATGCTTCTTAAGAGGACACTCACTCTCAAGATTTAAAACTCTCGGAAGTTCCCGCATTATCGAGCATGGTTTTTTAGTAAAGCGAAGTGGCCTCAACCGTGGAGGTTCCTCGCAGGTCCTCATTTCTGTTCAGATAGCAATAAAGTCGTACGTGCGTGCGTGCGTGCGTATGAGTGTGAGGAGGGCAGCCCTCCCCCGCACTGCCAGCTATCAACGCAGTTGAATCTCCGTGAGTGCATCGACGAAGGAACGCGCACGAAGAGGTGGCAACGTGGCCGGCACGCGCGCCCGTGAGGGAGAGCTTCTTTTCCTGGCTTCTCTGAACTCCTCTGTGCCTCTGCCGTACACATCCGTGCGGCCTCGCCTCGTTCGTTGCACCGTGGCTCTCCCTCACTGCCTCCTTTTCGCTTTTTCACTTTGCGCGCCTCGGAAAAATAACTAGTTTGCGCGGGCGATCGTCGAGAACGATGCCGAAATATCGCTACACGGGAGAAGAAGGTGGAGGAGGAGGAGAAGGAGGAGAGAGAGAGAGAGAGAGAGAGAGAGTGAGTGAGAGGGAGGTGGGTGGAGAGGTCGCCAGAGCGGTACCGACACTAGTTATTCGACGATTTTACCGCTCAGTTTCGCAAGCCAATAATAGCCGATTTACCGCGCATTTTTGTCACGCTTGTAAAAAAGATGCACCATATACGAAATAAAATATGTTTAGATACCATTAAAGGGGCTCGGCCAGCGCGTAATAGTGTTCGTATGAACTACGAATTTGTCCACCACCTTTGCGTTTAAAAAAAAAAGAGCATAAAAAGAGCAGAAAGCAGAGCGGCGCGAGGAGAAAAAGAAGGGACGAGCGCTCGCTTTCAGTCTGGCAAAGGCACACCGAGAGAGGGAGTGGAGCCAGAAGAAATGACAAAAAGAGAAAAAGAAAGAGAAAAGAACGTGAACGTCTTACTGTGGAGCGTCTCAGAGTCTACGATCATCAGAAGCCCCCTTGAAAGGTCGAGTCCGTGCGCGCGCGTGAAAGATAGATAGATGGATAGATAGATGGATAGAGAAAGAGAGAGAGAGAGAGAGAGAGAGAGAGAGAGAGAGAGAGAGGTAGATAGGGAGTACGGGAGGGAGGGATAGGGCGTGGGGAGGGGGAGAGGTAAGAGAAAAACGAAGAAGTAGACTTTTTGCAGCATCACGAGTCTACGATGACGTGGACGATAAGGGGGATCGAGGGGGCGGCTGTGGCTTCGTCGTAGAGGAGAAGAAGAAGGTAGAGGAGGAGGGGCAGGCGAGCGAACGGACAGTCGAGCAAGCAAGCAAGAGGAACGGGAAGAAGGGGGTACGTACGGACGGCAGTCGTTGGCATGGGTAAGGGGGATGGGGACGAGGCCGCCGAGTTGCAAAAGTAGTAGTGGTAAGTTGAGAGTCACTAGAGAGCCGCAGGAGCAAACGAACACTTGGAAGGTTCGCGGTGAAGCGAGAGGCGGGATGGAGTGAGTGAGTGAGTGAGTGAGAGAGAGAGAGAGAGAGAGAGAGAATGAATGAGAGCCGAAGAGGCGGACAGAACGATGGCGAAAGAGCAGCGGCACGATGAGACGACGAGCGTCTATGCGAGGGAACGGGGAATGGCAAAATGGGCTGCGGGGAGGGGCGAGGCGGGGAAGGGTGGGTGCCGCAAATAAGGGACGAGGAGCGAACGAATGCTTGGGAAGATGGAGGACCAGTAATGGGAAGAGGGTGAAAGGGGGCGAAGGGTGGCGTTGGGAGGTAAAGGGAGCGAGAAACCTCCCGTTGCGCTCGTGCTGGACTCGGTCCGTTTTCTTTTTCTCCTCGTTTCTCCTTTTTTTGTGCGCTGTAAAGGGAGCGCTCCAGTATCGTACGTACCGCGTCGGAAAAGAGAGAAAAAGCGGGCAAGTTCTGCCTGTGTATCTTACTCCTAGTGTCGGCAGAGCGACGGAAGAAACTCATCTCCTAGAGATAGGAACATAAATTTATGAAGGGCCGTAGTTCGTCCTACCTATAACGCCGGCAGTCGCGACTTAATTATTCGATGACACTTTCGTTATTTAGTCGCGTCCCGGACTGCTGCTGTCCTTTGATAAAAAATCAAAGACTTCGACTGACATCCTTGCCTGGTAATTTCCCAGGTGAGGAGGTTCGTGCACTCGTCATAACTCCTTCGGACATTTATCCAAGCTCGCGACATTTATCCGCGGGCAACTGTTGCTCCGGCGACGCGTGCGCACTCGATCGGAACTCGTGAAAAAGCAACTGAAATTAGCGAACACCCGCTTCCGTCTTTATGCCCCCCCCCCCACCACCACCCAACCCGCTATCAATGCCCTCGTTAGTTCAACGGCGGGCTTTCGAGCGCGCCTTCGAAATTTCCATCTTAAAATTCGAATGAAAATCCGTTGACGCCCCTGTGAGCAGGCGAGCGCCTACGACGCTGCTTTTATCCCAATCAACATCTCGGTTCTTCGCTCGCCGGCACATCCATCCCGCGCTCGAAAGCGGGTAAAAGTTAAATTGTGCGCTATGTCTCACTCACATTCTCCCCCCCCCCCCCCCCCCCCCTCCCCCCCTTTTCTTTTCTGTG